CAGAAAGTCTGCTGAGTCACTGTAATTCACTCAGATTAGCCTCTTAATGTAATCTCACATCCAGAAATTTAAAGAAACAGTTCACTCAAAAACTAACAATCCGTCAGTATAGGAAGGCTAGTATTATCGCTGCATATACTGTAGGAAGCGGGATTGATATAATGATAATAGTTTAGTATGAGATCTGACTGAGGAGGACAGTAATTGAGCTGTAGCTGTCAGTTTAGGTGCTGTGTGTATGAAAAGTGCAGTTATCTTTCCCAATGATCCGCGTAATGTATTCAGTGCAAATGGGCAAAGCTGAATGTCTTTCATCACAGAGTTAGATCATGGTAAAGAATGAAGTTGGTGATGTCTGCTTTACTACACTCCTTTGATATAGAGTGACAGCTATATTCCTTAGAGCAGGGGTTCCCAAACTTTTCAGCCAGTGACCCCCAAAATAACAATGCCTGTGACTCGCGACCCCCAATATCCCCTAAGGTGGTTATAAATACAGAAAACTTGCATGCAAATGCGCACACACACCAATAGACTCAAGTCTATTCTTCGTTTATTTATGTATGTAAGTGCTGTAAATGTGCCGGAAAGTTTAACCTGGTATTATAAAATCAATCTGCTGCATCTGACGCTATTGCTAAGTCTGTAATATAATGATTACCCCAGGGGTCGCAATCCATTAGAACTAGTAACTATGAGCTACTATAGTAACTATATAGTAACTATAAACAACTATTTTTTTTTCTTTTCAGTAGGTTATAGATAAAATATGGTAATTCTTATGGTTTAATAAAAATAAATTTAAAAATCACCAGGCGACCCCCCTCCACACTGTTTTCCAATATCAAACTTGCAAAGTCCGAACTTACAGGGAGAGGATGAGAGACTGAACTGTGAGGAAAAGCCCCAATCAGAGAGGCGAATGTCTGCAGCCCCGCCTTTGTTTTCAGATGTCTCCGCTTTCCCCCATCCACACTAAGGCCCCGTTTACACTAGTGCGTTTTAGTTTTAAAACGGCGTTGTAGAATGAAAACGATCCGCGTCCACACTCGCGTTTTACCCAGCGTTTCTGAACAGCTCTCCATCCACACCAAAACGCTGAAAAACCACATCACTTGACCACACACACACTCTCGGGCAAGCGCTCCAGCATTTCTACCCAGATGAGAGCTCTGCTTGTCGGACTGCTCATCAAGCATCTCTCGCTGGATCTAATCTCACTATATTTGCTAAACGTGATATTTCATTCATGTTGTTGTCTTTATCTAACGACATAGGCCAATTCCCTGACTTTGGTCATTGGAATCTATTAAGTTACTTGTTCACGGGTAACATGTTTTGGTTAAGCGCAAAGATAATTTAATGATTAATCCAGGTACATTGACCGATCGCTTGCCTTTATTTCCTACAATGTATAAACTTATTGTATGTTATACTTTTATAATTATCGATTATTAAAACTGATATTCAACAAAAGAGAGGGTGCGTTTCGTATTTTCACTGAAATTGAAAGGAGGCAGTTGTTATCGGCTCCGTTTTGTTATAAATATCCACACAGTGAAGATAACGCTCATATATGCAGCACGGCGCCTCAACATTTCTGCTGTCTGTTAAGTTGCTAATATTAAAATGAAAATAGGCAGTTCCTTAAATCATGTGTACATTTTATTGTTGAGAAAGTGAAACAACGTAGCCAAGGTGATGTGAATGAAGTTATAAAGTACACTGTTCCCTTTGAAGATTTACCCATGTCCTCGGTATGTTTTCCATATCAAACTGAGAAGGGGGAGACTGCAGCCTTGATCAAACTTGCGAAGTCTTACCTTACAAGAAGAGGATGCGAGACTGAACTGTGTGTGGGCTACTTAATATTGAGGAAAAGCCCCAATCAGATGGGCGAACGTCAGCAGCCCCGCCTCCGTTTTCAGATGTCTCCGTCTTTCCCCATCCACACTGAGACGGAGCAGCAGCGTTTCAGAATGAAAACCGCCTCTCCAGCGTTTTCGAAACGCTCCGTTTTCGGCGCTCGAAACGCTCCGTTTTCGCCGCTCGAAAATTTCGGCGTAGTGTGGACGGATGGCGTAACCGTAGTAAAACTTATGCGTTTTAAAACGAAAACGCATTAGTGTAAACGGGGTCTTATTTGCTTATTTACTTACCTATTATTTACTTATCTTTTACTACTTATTTACTTACCTGTTTACTTACCTACTTACTTGCTTATTAACTTACCTACTTATTTACTTATTTATTATCCTTTTTTATTATTATCTTTTTTAATTTATTTACTTACCTACTTGTTTACTTGCTTAATCATTTACTTACTCACCACTGTTGCCAACTATTTTCAATGAAAAGGCGTTAAGCTCTGCCCGAAAAGTCGCTAAAAGTCACTAGATTACGTCATGCGTCAATTTGCATGTTACTGACGTCATCACGTTCTACCGTTTCTGTTTGTTTAACATATGGTTAATAAAGGGGTATTTATATTTGCACTGTGCTTTATGTAAGCATGTCAATTTAACTAAATGTGTTGGTGTTTGAATACGGTATATCATTATAGATGGGTAGTGAATTTGCAGTAATCTCTGAGTTTATTACATCTGAGAGAAGTTCTGAAACTCTCACTTAAAATATCTGTGATTGTGAACAAGATAAGAATCAACAGTCAAATTAAATTGTTAAAATAAAGGAGAAGCAGGTCGGTTTGACTGTGCAAGGGAAATACTTCACACTGCCAGTGCTAAATCGTTTGCCGTCGGTTTAATCCAATTTCTTTTCATTTACATGTTACATGCCATGTCTTATCAGAAAATATTACTTGCATTACAATCTTTTATCAAATATTTCTTAAGAAACGCTTGACAAAAGACAATCAGTTCCAGTTTATGTATTCACTGCTGTTTATACAAGATATATGAGGGGCCTTTATCCTTATAATTAACCAAAAAGGGAATTAATCAATCAGTGTTGGCCTACAGAAATCAGAGTGATTATTGCCGTGGTTACTGGTGCTTAGAAACATGATCTCGCTTAGTTAAGATGCAAGAAACTGTGTTGGCAGGTCAGGATATGAAAGAGCAAGGTGATGTTTATTTAAAAATCTCAACTCAGTTACAGCTCAGTTTGATTGATACAACATGTTTGAGCAACACAAGTGGTTTTCACTCTTTCTTTATTACACTGTATTAGTGATAAGAATAACATAATGATTATATGGAGAGCAAGTGAGAAGAGAAAAACATATTTAAAATATTTTACAGATTCTCTTTTTATATTTAGCTCATAACAAGTCTCTGTTTTCTAGGTTTTGGGCCTGTGACTTCATCTGTAAATGCCACTAAGACCATTTCTTATGTTTTTACAGTCAACATGAAAGTCCATTTCCAGCACATTTTACTTGCATACAAGTTTATCCTTGTAGAATTTATTGAATTTTGAAAATTAGCTCATGCATCCTGTGAATGTCCAAAAATTCAATCTAAAGTGATTATGTGGAGTTTTTATTTACTTAGTTGCAAGTCATTACTTTGATTAGAGCAATGTTCAATTTAAATTTTTACTAAATGATGAATAAATAATGTGCGTATTTAAGAAGGCATGCATGTATGTATTCATTTATTTACATATATATTTTTTATTAATTATTTTTTATTATTATTTCCATCTTTCCATCCAAACTTGTTTACTCACATTTTTATTTTAAAAAAATTTACATAAAACTTGTATTTTTATGTACATTTTATATTTACTTTTTTATTTACTTTTGAATTAATTATTTATTTACAACTTTATTTACTTTTATTTATACTTTCATTTAAAAATATTTTTGTTTACATTTTTTATTTAATTATTTAAATAAAAATGTAAATAAGTAAATAAAATGTAAATAAATTTTAATAAAAGTAAATATTTTTTAATAAAAATGTAAATATATAAAAATGTAAATAAAAATGTATTTACATTTTTATTTACATTTTTAATTAATTTTATGTTTACATTTTTATTTACTTTTGTTTACATTTTTAATTAATTGTGTTAATTGTAACATTTTTATTTTTTATTTTTGTTTACTTTTACATTTTTATTTACTTTTTAAATGTACTTTTATTTATATTTTTAATTTACTTTAATTTACATTATATTTACTTGTATTTACATATTTATTTACTTTTATTTACATTGTAATTGACTTATTTACATTTTTATTTATTTTTATTCATATTTTAATTTACTTTATTTACATTTTTAATTTACTTCTATTTACATTTTTATTCTACTTTTTTGTTTACTTTAAGTTTTTTATTTATTTACATTTTTAAGTACATTTTTCATTAATTTTTATGTCCTTTTATGATTTTGTATTTGCTTTTTATAATTAAAAAAAAAATTTTTTTTACATTTTTATTTACATGTTCACTTTTTTTTTTCATTTATTTATTTTATTATTTTCTTTTAATTTATTTATTAATTTTTTGTTTGTTAATTTATTTAATTATTCTCTTTATTATTTTATTTTGGTTTATTTGTTTATTTATTTTATAATTTTCTTTTTATTTATTTGTTTTACACAGACAGACAGACATACAGCTAGATAGATCAATAGATATTTAATTATTATTTTAATTGTTGCTATTGAATTAATTAATACATTTTTTTTTCAGGTTTTATTTAATTTTTTCTAGTACTATAAGCCGAATTGTTTTGTATTCAGTAATAATTGTAGAACATTATTGCATGTTATAGTTGCAACATATACATATCAAGACAAAAAAAATGCAATACACATGCTGCATTCATTCAGCTCTGAAACTCAAAGTCAGAATTGCGAGATTTAAAGTGAAAATGACAAGTAAAAAGTCAGAATTGTACATTGTTGTTCTTATTTTGTACTGTTGTCATTTTTCTTGCTGATTATAACATATAAACTCAAATCTGAGGGGGGAAAAAAGTAAATAATTTTTTTTAATCTTTGTATTTTTGTGTTTTGTGAACTGCAGGCAAGTGGAAAGATGTAGCTGAAAAACCAACAGAAACCAGTGTTGACCAATCACAGCCTCAGGTCGTCCCTGAAAAGGGGCGTAGCCTGTGGAGTTCAGCCCATCATGTCCAAGAAACCCCCCAGTGGGCGGGGCAAAGGAGAGCGACCTGATGCCATGGCAGCGCTGCAGGCGGCCAATGAGGAGCTGAGGGCCAAACTCACAGAAATCCAGATCGAACTGCAGCAGGAGAAAACCAAGGTTTGAGTCTAGAGATACTTCTTTATTGTCTCCTGAAAAGTGTCTCATTTTGTCTTTATAACAAGTAGTCGATTAAATTTCATCTGGAAACCCTGCTGTAGGTGACACGGTGGCTCAACTGTCGCCTCACAACAAAAAGGTTGCTGGTTTGAGTCCCGGCTGGGTCAGTTGGCATTGCTGTGTGGAGTTTGCATGTTCTCCCCGTGTTAGTGTGGGTTTCCTCTGGGTGCTCCGGTTTCCCCCACAGTCCAAACACATGCATAGGCGAATTGAATTAACTAAATTGTCTGTAGTGTGTGTGTGAGTGAGTGAATGTGAGTGTATGGGTGTTTTCCAGTACTGGGTTGCAGCTGAAAGGGCATCTGCTATGTAAAATATATGCTGGATAAGTCGGCGGTTCATTCCGCTGTGGTGACCCCAGATGAATAAAGCAACGAAGCCGAAGGAAAATGAATGAATGAATGAATGAATGAATAAATGAATGAATGAATGAATGATTTACTCTTTGCCATCACATGACGATGAGTAAATAATGGTAGATTGTATTAGGCTTATTTATTATTTATTAAACAAGCGGTTCATTCCATGTAAGAAACATTCGCTCCCTCAGTTTTACACGTCTCAGACATTACCGTGGATGTCATGAACCTTTTATGTTTTATAGATTGTGTTGATTTTGTTTAAGTGTCTGCATTGAAGCATCACATTCTGCTTTATGGCTTCATTAGCTCTGGGAAACAGTGTTAAATGAGGGTGAAGGAAACTATAGGCATCCTGTCAAAGTGTGGAGACTGACAGCTTTTACTTCTAAAGAGGCAAAGATGCTGTTAATGGTGTTTAGAGTGTCCAAACTGTCCATTTTTGTGTCCTGATGACTGACTGATGGATGTGCAATTTAGAGTATGAACACTTGATCTGATTTGGTTTGAGTTCTGCTGTCGTGTCATTTTTTTATTTACATTTTTATTTACATTCTTTATTTACTTTTTATTTATTTTTTGTTTATTTATTTTATTTTTTTATTTTTGAAATGACATTGAAATGAAGATGTCGGAGATCAAAAACTAATTTACTAGGGTAAATCTGGGATCTGGACCAGTCTGTCTATCTATTTTGATACAATTTGTAGACTTGTGTTTAAAATATATTCTTTCATGGTTTGCTTAAAATCAAATATAAAAAGTGTAAATTTTTTAATTGATTATATTTAGATACTGGTTATAGTTATATACAGTATACAGTGCATCCGGAAAGTATTGATAGTGCTTCACTTTTTCCACATGTTTTTATGTTACAGCCATATTACAGAATGGATTAAATTAATTTATTTTCTCAAAGTTCTACACACAATACCTCATAAAGAGTTTTTTAAATTGTTGCAAATTTATTAAAAATGAAAAATCAAAAAAATCAGTATTCACATCAGTGTTCACAGCTTTTGCTCAATATTTTGTTGATGCACCTTTGGCAGCGATTACAGCCTCAAGTCTGTTTGAATATGATGCTACAAGCTTGGCACACCTGTCTTTGGGAATTTTCGCCCATTCCTCTTTGCAGTACCTCTCAAGCTCTATCAGGTTGGATGTGAAGTGACTGTATACGGCCATTTTCAGATCTCTCCAGAGATGTTCAATAGGATTTAGGTCTGGGCTGTGGCTGGGCCACTCATGGATATTTACCGAGTTGTTGTGAAGCCACTCCATTGATATATTAGCGGTGTGCTTTAAGTCATTCTCTTGCTGAAAGATGAACCGTTGCCCCACGTTGAGGTTAAGAGCACTCTGAAGCAGGTTTTCATTCAGGATGTCTCTGTGCATTGCTGCATTCATCTTTCCCTCTATCCTGACTAGTCTTCCAGTTCCTGCTGCTGAAAAACATCCTCACAGCATGATGCTGCCACCACCAAGCTTCACTGTAGGGATGGTATTAGCCTAGTGATGAGCGGTGCCTGGTTTTCTCCAGACAAAAGACCTGGCATTCACTCCAAAGTATTCAATTTTAGTCTCATCAGACCAGAGAATTTAGTTTCTTATGGTCTGAGAGTCCTTTGGATGCCTTTTGGCAAACTCCACGCAGATAGTGGCTTCTGTCTGGCCACTCTACCATACAGGCCTGATTGATGGATTGCTGCACAGATGGTTGTCCTTCTGTAAGTTTCTCCTCTCTACAATGAAGTACCCCGGAGCTCAGACAGAGTGACCATTGTGTTATTGATCACCTTCCTGACTAAGACTCTTCTCCCCTGATAACTTTAAGCTGTATAGAAGAGTCTTGAAAAATATCTAGTCAAATATTATGTACTGTCATCATGGCAAAGATAAAACAAATCAGTTATTAGAGATGAGTTATTAAAACTCTAATGTTTAGAAATGTGTTGGAAAAAAATATTGTCTCCGTTAAACAGAAATTGTGGAAAAATATACAGGGGAGCTAATAAATCAGGAGGTCTAATAATTCTGACTTCAGCTGTATATATGTAATGTTATATAACTGAAGCTCATTGCTTTAAATAATAAACCAGACACTTTGTTAGGGTAACATTAACATAACTGTGGATGACGTTATAGTGATTAATTTGGGTAATAATGGAGTCCCTTATCACTGCTTTAAATGAATCAGATCATGAAAGGGTCGATGAGTGAGGTTTTACATTAATGTCCTCTCCAGTCTATCTGAGCATTAATGTTCAGTGGTGGTGATTAGTACTTTCTGGCGTCCGTTCGTGCAGAACCTCGCTGTCATTTATTTTCACCCTGAGCTGTGTGTATTGATCTGGGAGAGACACTGCAGTATGCACACACACTCACACACACAAAATGAAAACACACATGACTATACAGAAAAAATAAAGAGTGAGATGTATGAAATGAAAGTCACAGTTTAAAATAAGATTTCATTTATACATATTTTTATTCATGTATTTACTAACATTAAGTATGAACAGTACTTTTTCCCAGAGATGGGTTGCGGCTGGAAGGGCATCTTGCTGGATAAGTTGACGGTTCATTCCGCTGTGGCGACCCCACATTAATAAAGGGACTAAGCCGACATAAATGAATGAATGAACAGCATTTATTAATCATAGTTCAACATTTACTAATTCCTTATTAAAAACAGAATTCATGTCTGCTAACATTAGTTAGTGCACCATGAGTTAACATAAACTCGCAATGAACAACTGTATTTTTATTAACTAACATTCACTAACATGAACAAATACTGTAATAAATGTATTGTTCATTGATTGTTCCTAAAT